GGGGGGTTGGCAGGGAGGGGGGCACATTGAGGAAACTGGCCTTGGGGCAGCAGAGAGAGTAAAGCTGGCCCTCACTGTACACCTTGCAATCTGGTTGAAACATTTTCTTTATACCAACAATTATGTATTACCAAAGCCTACTTGGTTGGATACAATTTGAGTAGATTGCTTAGGTAGGGCTTCTTCTGCATAGTTCTGCTAGATCTAAAGGAAGTTGAATAGTGATTGAACATTCATATTGTAGGATGTATGTGAAGGATGCTGGAGACGGTAGCGTCATGGAAATATCCAGAAGGTAAGTGGTACCCACCTCAGAAAGCATCAGGTTCCTCTCCTCAGTCATCCCTGTTAGATTGGCCTTCCCAGTGAAAATGTCTTTAATTCCCAGTTCTTCCAGGGAGCTTTTCAGTTTGTACTTGTGGTCAAGTTTAAATTTTGGGAATATAATGTCGGTTTTCCTGAAACAAAAACCCCGCAAACAACCCACAGATATCACAACAAATCAGTCAATGCTTTCCTTATGTATAAAGAACTAGTTCCCATCGCAGCCCCAATATCCCATCGAGGTTCCAATACATTGTAGGGAAAAATAATTTCCAACACAAAGTCAAGTCAGTAGCAACGTCAATCTGATGGACCTGCAGAGAACCAAAGTTCCCCAAATGTTCATTTAATCCAGGGGTAGGCAACCTCAGCACTCCAGCTGTGGTGGAACTACAAATCCCATGAGGCATTGCAAGACTGACAGCCACCGGCAGGACTCCCAGAAGGGAGAGACATGATGGAATTTTTAGTTTCACCGCAGCTGGAATGCAGAGGTTGACTACTCCTGCTATATCTGCTGCTACAATTGAAATGTAATGTATTCTGGATTGTAGATTTAACACTTTCGCTAACCATTTTTTTCAACACCTATTAAAAAGGTCAATTTTAGGCCTGAAGATTACTTTAAACCCCCAAATCGCTTCCTTTGCCATGTGGGATAACAGTATACAGAGAGGGGGGCATGCATTGTCACCAAGTACCACTCTGATTGCCACCTAAGATCCTTTAATACATTTAAGATCTGTTGGGAATCTCTTAGATTAGGATGAACAAAGTTCTGTAACCCAGAGGCACCACTGAGGAACATTCCACACAGCTGTACTCCTATTTAAGAATGGAGCTGTTGGACGCAGCAGAACATCATATTCCAAACCATGGGCATTGTTATAGAGTTGGCTTCCCCTTGTGGCTATCACAGCCTCTATTTTTCTGGGATGGTGTATCACTGGATTTTGGAGTGTGTCATTGGGAAATTATGTCCATTCAACCAAAATATCATTTGTGAGGTCAGGCGCTGATGTTGTGAGGTGCAGGCCGCTTAAAGGAGAACTATGGGGTTAAGTCTTTTCCCCATAGTTCTCCTTAGGGTAACGGGAGGACACAACAACGACAATTGTGCCGGGATCCGCCCAGCTGCGTGACTGACAGCTGGCTCTGCCTATCTAGAGGCAGAGCCAGCTGTACCCGCCCCCACCCCCGTCCGTTCCGCCAGTCAGCGCTGGCAGGTAGGAGAGGGGCGGGGGGAATCCAGCCCCTCCCCTGTCACGGTAGAGAGGAGTGACAGGATCGAGAGGTGAGCGAACGCCTGTATGTGTTCGCTCACCTCCCGATCTACTGAGCCGACCTGTGAAAAGCACTCGCCTCATAGTTCTCCATTAAGGTTCTCCACACCAAACCCATGTGGAGCTGGCTTTGTGCACCAGGGCACAGACATCCCCAAACAGTTGCCAAAAGGTTGGAGGGGCACAACTGTCAAAAATGTCTTCTGACATTAACACGACTATTAACAAGGGACACCTGTTGGTATCCACATTCCACATTCTGGTGAGTATAAAATGTATTCTGGAGTTTGGTGACAATGTTGACCAGGTCAAAGAGGATGAATCTACCTAGTGGAGACACAGAAAGCTATATAAACTTGGCAAAGGTTCTATTCCTTCCCTACTCTATCCGAAATTTGATAAAGCCTTTGGCTATACATACATTTTAATATAATCTTTGTTGTGCATAGATTCCATACCTGGTTTTCATTTTATTCAGCCAAGAAGCAACCAGTTCACTTGACAATCCGTCTTCTAAGGCATCAAAGTTGCCGTCATTCTCAGGAACGACGACCAACATGTGAGCGCCCCCTCTGTACGGGAGGTTCAGCACAGTGCATGATAAGGACTTGTCGAACATGGAGGCAACTTTCTCTGTCTTGTACATCATCGGGACTTTTACTGAGGTATACTTGTTGACATAGAACGTGTCTGTGTTGGTTGCATCGGGTTTGAAAGGGGTCTGCCATTTACCTGCAAAGTCATTTCAACTATTATTATTAGACATGTGCACCGGCAAAATATTTGTTTCGTTTCGTTTTCATTTGGATTTCCGTCATTTAGTTTTTCAGGATTCGGGTCCCAAAGTCAATTCGTTTCGGGATTCGGACGAAATTTCGTTAGCGGTAGTCTGTACAAATTTTCGTTTGTGGGGTAATTTTCGTTGCAGCAAAGTGACATTAGAGAAGAAAAGAAAAAAATAACTTGGTTCCCCCCAAAATTCATCCTTGGCCCTTTAGGTCTTGTAGGAATTTTAAGCGGGAACCCCAGCCCCCCAAAAATGTGAAAAAAACATGGGGCTCCCCCTAACATCATGATCGTCTCCCCCCCCTTTCCTGCCCTGCCGGGCCTGTGCTCGGTTCAAGGCTCTGGTAGGAATGTTAGGGGGACCCCACGGTTTTTCCCCATTTTTGGGGGGCTGGGGTTCCCCCTTAAAATTTCTACCAGACCTAAAGGGCCTGGTAGGGATTTTGGGGGGAACCTCACGCGCTTTTTTTCTCTTCTGCAGACTGTAAAAAAAAAAGTTTTTTAAAAATTTTTTTCTCTAATGTCACCCTGCTGCAACGAAAATTCGTCCACAAACTACAATTCGCACAGACTACCGCTAACGAATTTCGGTATGGGAAATTCGGATTCGCTTGCATTCGTCATTTCTGTAATTCGGTAATTCGGATACATCTGATTCTCCGAATTTCCGAAAGTTCGTCCGCATAAAGAATCATTCCGAAACGAATTGCACATGTCTAATTATTATTATTATTATTGTTTAATAACACCGAGTTCCAGGCGAACAGCTCCTCTTATCAGCATGCTGCCTGCACTTCAGCACAATTGATTGGCCTCCTTCTGCCCTTCTGAGCTCTGCTGGGGGGGGGAGGGGGGCAGGACGCTGAAACCAAATTAAATTTAGGTAGGCACTCTGCTTGCATTTAAAATAAAATCACTGTAATGATGTTTTAATGAATACCGAGCTGCATTCATTTGTTTCTTTTATAGTTGCCTGGAGTTCAGTTTTAATAATACATTTCAACAGTCAGCAGTGCCAGCCTACTCAAGGTCTAGTCTTTTCATTCAGGCCAAAACACAACACTCCACCCAACTCCCTTATATTTGCCAATCTGATGATTTTGTTAACCCCAAATGGGATATTCTCAAATACACCCACTGCAGACTCATGCAGTCTCAGATATATGAAGGTGCCGCTAATGAGTTCAGTGAAGCTGCTATTCACAGCCATCAGTTAGATTCAAACTTGTTTTGGGAGTTGGAATCTGGTGATACATCAAGCAGGGGGAGTGGAAATACAACACATACATTTCTGGAATTGGACCTGACCACCCCAGATGTGAGGAGCTCTGAGAAATTGGCTGTCTTGGGCTACTTAAAATTCAATGCAAATTAAATGATCCTTCTGCCTTTAGCAAAGGGGCAGTGTTTCCTGGCTAGCACCATAATGTAGGAGAGTGACCGACTATGCCAAACCTGCAAGGAAACATTGGGGTACAAACCCGGAAGAGCAGAACAGTAGAAAGTTATCATGGCACACTCACAAGCCAGCATGTAAAACAACTTGTCTCACCACTAAGGATAATAACAGAGGTTTGGATACACGTCTTCTGCAGAAAATGTGAAAGCTGCACAGCCGCGCCAAGGCACCTCCATATAGTGCGGTCCTATTTCTGAACTATGAGAGTCTCCATCTTGGAGCACATGGGGCAGAAGATTTAGGATTGGGTGCAGGTTTGTCAGGAGGAAGCCCGACCTCCCATAAAGGCACAGGAACACACAAGGGATCCCGCACATGCCAATGGCAGCTGAGACCCACCGAAGAGCACCACATGGCGACTGGAATTGTTAAAGGAGAACTATGAGGTGGGTACTTTTCACTCACCTCATAGTTCTAGCCGACCCGTGACAATGAGACTGTCACAGGTCGGCTCAGATCGGGAGGTGAGCGAACAAATACCGAGTTCGCTCACCTCTCGATCCTGTCACGGCTCTCTGCCGTGACAGGGGAGGGGCTGGATTCCCCGCTCCGATCCGCCAGCGCTGACTGGCGGAACAGACGGGGGAGGGGGCGGGTACAGCTGGCTCTGCCTCTAGATAGCTGGCTCTGCCTCTAGATAGGCAGAGCCAGCTTTCACTCACGCAGCTGGGCGGATATCGACATCGATGTTGGGATCCGCTCCGGCTGCGGCGTCTCAGTATATAGTGAGCTACAGCTCGCGGTATACTGAGCCTAGGGTGATGGGAGGACGCTAGTTTGTGTCCTCCCGTTACCCTAAGGAGAACTATGGGGAAAAGCCCTGACCCCATAGCTCTCCTTTAAACCATTTTCCAGTCCCAGAGTCCACTGCTTTACAGGGACAGCAACCACACCACAGGGACCGCAACAAAGGGGAAAAAAAAGAAGATTTGGGATTTACACTTTCAAGCATGCAAAAAAACCCTGGAACAAATTATAATAAATCCCATCTTACCAGGATGTGGTGTCTGCATTAGCTTTTTTTTACCTGCTGATCCTGCCAGTAACATATATCCTAGAGTGACAATGCTCATGCACTGCACTGGATCTATAGAGGAGCAGTGTTGTCACCCTAGACTGCTCTCCTGATTTTAGCAAAGTGCGCAGGAAGTTACAAGGGCACTGGGATTTTGGCAGGATAAAGAAGTATTTTTGTGTTCTTAGCTTTCTTGTGCAAATTACTACTCCCACGTCCCCTCATGTAACGGAGATGAAGGCAGATATGTCTGAAGCCCCTCCATAGATCCAGAGCAGAAATAAGTGTAGTCATGAAGTGACAGGAAGTGTGTTATTCGTACAATTAACAGGAAAAAATTAAGGATAAGAGTGTGAAAAAGAAAACTAATGCGGCCACCGCATCGAAGGACTAGCAAGCAGCCATATATGACATTATTGTTCTTGGGTTTAGATTTGCTTTAGTGTTTTGCATCCACAAGCCTACGTGGAGGATTTCCGTTGCTTTACTGTCCTTCCAAAACCACAAAATGACATTTCTGGATACAAAGACAAACATTACCTTTGAAGAATATGAAGTCTAGAAGCATCATCTTCGTCTGAGGGTCAATTTCATCCTGAAGCTCTGAGATTCTGCCCTTCGTCTTCGCCCTGATGAGGTCCCGGATGGTCTCTAAAATGTGGCGGTCATGGAAGTCCACACTTAGGAACTCCATGTTGAAGTACAGCATTGACTGGTTGAGAAACTCCTGGTTGATGTTGAAGCTTTCGTGTAGAAGGGAGAGGCTTCCCAAGTCTAGAGAATATCCTTCGCCCTTCATGATGCTGCTTTTCAGGTCCTTCAGCAACTTGTGCAATAGGTTAGGATTCTTCTGCTTCTTCAAAGGCCCCCAGCCCAGGCCACTCAGCATCTGATCATGAGTTTTTCCCTGAGTCCCCAGAGTCAAAACACCGAGGAGGAAGGAAACGCTAAACGGAGAGAAGAAGATGTTGTCGTCGTGTTTGTCAGCCGTCCTTCTGTAGAGGTCGAAGCCAAAGTTGCTGTTCATGTTTGATATGTTGAGGGCAGAAATATCTTCTGTGGCATTTAGATTTGAAGTGGACTCCTGGAGGAGAGGTATTTTCTCCTGACGGTGCTGGTCCTTCTTAGGTTTTCCTTTAGTGGGCTGATGGGCCAGACAAAGGCCAAAAAGGAGAATGAAAACAAAAGTCCACCTCATGGTACAAAATGATATGGCTGACCTGATGGATAAAGATCATTAATAAACAATGTTATATTAGAAAGATGGATAGAAAGATAGATAGATAGATAGATAGATAGATAGATAGATAGATAGATGCAACAAACAAATATTTTTTTCAAATCTAGTTAGATACAATAACTTTAAACAACATCATGGTGTGAGCAAAAAAAACCAAAAAAAAACTACCTTCGCAACATCTTCAAAATACGCCCCTTCCTCATCAAAGAAACCGCTAAATTACTCATCCACTCCCTTGCTATCTCTCGACTTGACTATTGCAACTCCTGCTCGCCTCCGGGACTTCTCTAGAGTCTCTCCCATCCTATGGAACTCTTTACCCCATCCTGTCCGACTATCTCCCACTCTGACTGCCTTTAGGCGATCCCTAAAGACTCATCTCTTCAGGGAAGCCGATCCCACCTCAACCTAACTGAACCCACTGAACTATCACGTTCTAAAAAATTCATCCCCACACAGCTCCCTCCTCATGTATCACTTCCCCCTCTCGCATAGATTGTAAGCCCTCAGGGGCAGGGCCCTCCTTACCATCTTGTCATGATTTTTATTTTGATTGTAATGTCTTCCTTATATTGTAAAGCGCTGCGCAAACTGTTGGCGCCATATAAATCCTGTATAATAATAATAATAATTTGGGGCTTATATCTGCACAGAAGGAACATTTGCTGGATATTCGCAGGGCCCTTTTTATAAATAGACCACATAGTGTAAAAATTAACACAAACATATTGAGAATTCCGACCTGCTTACAAACTGTAATACAAACTGTTCCCATTGACTGCTGAGAGTTTTCACAATGAGAGCCCAGCAAACTGTTGCCGCTATATAAATCCTGTATTATAATAATAGATAGGATATAGAAAAATAGCTAAAAATAGACTGACAGATAAAACGAAAGATCGATAGATATATACAGGTAAAGGTAACAAAGCAATAATGTTTCTAGAATGTACTGAAGTACATTGATTTTAAATAACATCATGAAGTGATAGAGAGGCAAATGATTTATAGAGAGATAGCTATAAAATAGACCTATGGATTAAAATGCATAGATAGAGAGAGAGGGGGGGGCGGAGAGGGTGAGAGAGAGAGAGAGAGAGAGAGAGAGAGGGGGGGGGGGGGGGGGGGGGGGGGGGGGGGCCAGATTTGAGC